AGGAATAGACCGGGATTAAAGAGTATAGGGTGACAGTTTCAGAGATTTATAAGTCAGGGTTTAACTCGAAGTGAGAGTACGAATTCAAGGTTTATTTCATACTTTAGTGGTGCTTGCAATCCTCATGACAACTAAATTTGCCAATGTGGTACAAATTAGTTCATGTATTTAATTAACATATCTTGTGCACTCACCAATGTGGTTTCTCAATTGTTCACTTTGTTTCATATCTACTTTATGGCATGAAAATTTTGATGTCATTGTAAAAAAGAACTCTAGCCGAAGATAGAGATGCAACTCTTCAATCTTAAGGAGTAAGGGTGTTGTGAGAACCGGGTGCTAACTCAATGGCCTGAGTTTGTAGTGGCAAAGCCACGCACTCTCTTCGAGTCTATACAGTAGACTCCGTTGGGGTGCGATCCGTGTTAAATTGCACAAATATCTCATCACATATCTACATAACATCCGGTTAAGTTTTTTGCCAATGTACAGGACTAAGGCTGCTAAAGACAATTTGAATAAAAACCATGAACAAGTAGCAGTTTACTGGTTAGAACGCCAATTCTTTGGCTTCAGCCCCGAGGTGTATGGATGTTGAAAAACAAGTTTGACTGAAAACAGCTCGGTCCAAGAGCAAGAGTGTTCAAAATAATTTTATACAAAAAAAAAAGTTCCGGATAGCAAACCCATCAGGAGTTCATTTTCCTTCAGTGGTACCAACCGGAGGGTGGAAAATAGTGCAAAATACCACTCGTATTAACTAAACAAACAGCTTTTTTCCGAATCATTTGAACAAAAAACTGTAGAAATCGACCAAAAAACAAAAATAACGCGCCAGGTAGGGGTCGAACCTACGGCCTTCCGCTTAGGAAACGGACGCTCTATCCACTGAGCTACAGGCGCCTTGTTGTATGAGATGCAACGGAATCCTTTTACAACAATCACGTAGTAGATGCATCTACGGAAGCTTATTTGGACGGAGCACAAACCCTTCTCGAAGTCTACTAGAAACACCGGAAGCGGCGGCGGGGACAGCACAGGGGAGGAAAAGAAGCCAAGAGGCGGCGCCGCCGATCCACCCAGACCGAGAGCACCTTGGCCGACGGCATGGCGCTGCTGATGGAGCCCGGGTCGGAGCCCCTGACGGAGGGCGAGAAGGCCGACCTGGACGCCATCGCCGCCATCAAGGAGTCGGCGGCGCGCGAGTACAGGGAGGAGGGCAACCAGTTCGTCAAGAAGGGCCGGAAGCACTACCCCGACGCCGTCGACTGCTACACCAAGGCCATCGCCCAGATGGGCGCCCTCTCCGCCCCGAACCCCGACGCCTCCGTCCTCTTCGCCAACCGCGCGCACGTCAACCTCCTCCTCGGCAACCACCGCCGCGCCCTCGACGACGCCCAGCAGGCCGTCCGCCTCTCCCCCTCCAACCTCAAGGTCCGCACGCTCGCTCGCTCTAGATTACGCCTCTCTTGCTCCAATTTCTCGGATTTGGCGAGGAAGCCGCCGTGTGATGTGTGACATTCGTGTAGCCAGGCGCACTACCGGGCGGCGAAGGCCGCGCTTGCTCTCGACCAGTTGCCCCAGGCGGCGTCCTTCTGCCGGCGGGGGCTCGAGCAGGACCCCGCCAACGAGGAGCTCAAGAAATTCCTCGCGCAGGTGGAGGCGCAGCAGCGCGAGCGGGATCTTAAAAGGGCCAAGGTTGAACAGGCCATATCCGCCGCGAAGGTCTCTTCTGTTCCAAATTGGCAGTTCAGCATTTCCTTATTCTTTTCCTGTTTGTGTAATTGACTGTATTAGATGCATATAGGATCTTGCTGCTGCTATAGAGAAGAGAGGGCTGAGGCTGGGGAAGGCAGCATATCAGGAGCTGACCGGGGTAAAGAAGCCGAAGCTGGATGAGCAGGGCGTGCTCCACTGGCCAGTTCTTCTGCTCTACCCGGAGGTCATGTCGAGCGACTTTATTGAGGATTTTCCGGAGACTGATATGTTCTCGGATCACCTTGATCTCATATCCTTGGAAAGTTACGTGATACTTTTTCTGATAGTATGTACATGAATATGCATAGATACTTTCATCACAAAAAGGAGGAGGAATGGTTTCTTGAATTCCTGTTATCCTTAATTATCAAACATGTTCTCAGAAAGTTCTCCACCTTTGCCATGGGATGAGAACCACGCTTACACAAGGGACGCTATTGAGTTGTATTGTCAGGTTTGTTTACACACTTCGAATTTTAATTGAGGGTTAACCTGTAAGGCTACCTTCTGCAAAGTGCTAGCGCCCACAGATGATCAAATTTTCTCTATCTAAATTTCACGAGGCATGAGTCACAACCTCTTCATACAACATGAAAACAAAACATTCATGCCCCTGTGATGTGTATATACTACACACATTGTCCTTCTGATTTATTTTTCCACTAGATGATTGTGGGCCAAGTTTTTTCGATCCAGACCTTTTTGTGATACTAAATTTTGGGGAATGCAACATAAGTTATGCTATTGCTACTTAAGTGTTATTAGTAATTTCATTTGGCCGGTGCTAGAATGTCAAGATGGTAGCTCTAGCCTTTGTGGCCACATTCTGAAAATTGTAGGATTATCCTTTACCAATTTTACAAGTGGCAGACTCATGTGAGAAAACTAGGAGCTATTGAAAATTCAGATTTCAATGTGATCATTTTGACCATCGTTAGCAGCAGCATCCAGTCCAGTTTTTGAAGTTATCTTCAAATTTAACAAATCTGTAGGATGGTTGCTCCTTCATTTACAACTATTATATTATTACAGTCGACATAACTGTCACTACTTGAGAGTTAATATATACCTTCTGCAAAGTGCTAGCACCTACAGATATCAGATTTTCTTCTAAATGGCATGAGGCAAGTGCCACGACCTCTTCATAGAACATTAAAACAGAACACTGATGCCTCTGATGTGTATATGCTACAGGCAATGTCCTTCTGATTTATTTTTCACTAGATGATTGTGAGACAAGTTTTTTCGATCCATACCCTTTTGCTACTAAGTTTTGGGGGATGCAACATAAGTTATGTTATTGCTACACTGATGTAGTTAAGTGTTGTTGTTGGTAAATGGTTTATCTGGCAATAGAATGTCGAGATGATAGCTCTAACCTCTGTGGCAATATTCTGTAGCATTATCCTTTACCAATTTTAACAGTGTCGGACTCATGTGAGAAAACTCGGAGTTGTTGACAATTAAGATTTCAGTACTATCATGTTGATCATCATTAGCATTATCCAGTCCAGTTTTGCAAGTTATCTTGAAGTTTCACAAATCTGTAGGATTTTTGCTTTTTCATTCACAATTAGGATTACAGTCAACATACCATTGTCAGTACTTTGACACAGCTTTAGGATAGAAAAACTTTCTAGTTTCATTTCGTTGCCTTGCTGGCTAACTGGTATTTCCATTTGATACACTAGGCTGGTGATGGCACGCCGTTCTCCAAAAGTGAAATGTTAAAATATCTTCTGGAAGGCACTGTCGACTCAGGGTCACTCACAGAAAGCCTTGATGGGGAAGATGGAGAACATGATACTGTGAAGGGCAGCACAGCTATATCACCAAGTATGTAAAACATATTCCTTAGGTTATTTCTCTAAATTTACATGATGTACAGTAAAAAGACAGCACGATGTGAACTATGATTCTGTCAATTTCAGTATGTAATACTCCCTCCGTTCCTAAATATAAGTCTTTTAAGAGATTCTACTATAGACTACATACGGAGCAAAAAGAGTGAACTTATACTCTAAAAGGTGTCTATATACATCCGAATGTAGTCTCCATAGTGGAATCTCTAAAAAGACTTATATGTAGGAACCGAAGGAGTATATCCAATCTGCCATTAGCAGAACTACATTTACTGCAACATGCTATAATGCTGTTATGCTGCGCTGATAAGTAGTTGTATTCCATTTCAATGTGTGCAGGCCAGGGTAAGTGGATCAAAGTAAGAGAAGGGAAAACTCTTCAGGAAGCGCTGCAGCATAAAGACTACATCATCCCGGCGGTACCTGGTCCGTTCTTCAACCTGTGTATACTTTGCATTCGTACGTATAGAATGCTTGACATTGTTCAGCGCAAATAAGAGCTTCCATTAATTCCTGCGTGCAGTGTTCTTTGTGGTTTCAAGGAAATCCGCCTTCCATTCGAAGTTCAAGGCTGGGAATTGGTCTTTGCCGTAGAGCTGCCGTGTAGTAGTTCAGTTCACCATCTCTGGAAGAGGCCAAGGGTGCTATGGGTATATGATCAGGAAAGAGGAAGCTGGCAATTGTCAATTGCCGTATGGTCCTAGAAGGTTATACTACTTGAGAGAAGATGAGTTGTGCTTAATTAGCACTTGTGTGTCTTACAAGTTCTTCCAACCACTGCTTGGTTGGTTGATGGCTCAGGATTGCGTTTCTAGAGGGAGAAGCAACCGAATATGCAACTTTTCATGTGTATTTTAGCAGTGGGCATGACTGAACTTTTTGGGATTTGGCATGGTCATACTTGCTTCTCTGTATGCCCAGAACAGTACTGATTTGGATGCGATTATGTTGTTCAATTCTAGTTGTGGGCATGATTTAACTTTTTGGTACTACCTGTGGTATTTCATTCTGAAAGGTTCATCTTCTTGGTCGGTATCAGTATCACGCCATCCAGCCCACAGAAGAGAGAGGAGACGCTGGTGCGTTGGGACTTGACTTGGAGCTGGGGGACGCGCTGGCGCACCGGAACCGGAGGAGCGGCAGGTGTCGCCAGCTCGCTCGCCGCCGTGGACATGACTGCCACGCGCAACGAAGACAAGATGTCTAGAGAGTCGAAACACGCCGTGTCTATCCCATACTGTGCCGCCGCGCAAGAAAGCCAAACGCCGGTTTTATTACCGCCCGTAGGTGCGGATATTTATAGGAACCAACGATCGAAGCGCTCGCTCGAGGCTGTGTCAGAGTGTCAGTACCGGTCTTACCGCGAGTGAAGGCATCGTCATGGAGGAGGTGAGCGCCGAGGCCGCGGCCATGGCGAGCGGCGTCGGGCCGGAGGGCGCGACGATGAAGGTGGTGGCCGCGGTGGACGCGAGCGAGGAGAGCCTGCACGCGCTGTCGTGGGCGCTCGACAACGTCGTCCGGCCCCACCCCGGCGCGTCCCTCGTCGTCGTCCACGTCCAGCCGCGCGCCGACCACTTGGCCTACCCTGTCGCCGGGCACGGTACCGCCTGTCCTGTACAACAAGCTAGCTCACACGCACACACACGTACGTACGCTCACGCTCACTGACGGAACTCGTTTGCGTGTGCATACGGAGGCAGGCCTACAGTACGTCCCGCCCACGGCGGTGGACTCCGTGAGGAAGACGCACGAGGAGAACTCCCGGCGAGTCGTGTCCGTCGCGCTCGACGTGTGCAGGCAGAAGCAGGTGAGCGCCACGGCGGCGGTGGTGGAGGGCGACGCCAAGGAGGCCATCTGCCGCGCCGTGGAGGACATGCACGCCGACCTCCTCGTCCTCGGCAGCCGCGGCCTGGGCATGATCAAGAGGTACGCGCATGCCAATGAGATCACCACGCGTGAGCATCTTCGATAACAGATTGTGATTCTGGGTGCAGTTCGACTACTTCACTGGCAGAGCCAAAGATACTAAAGCACAGCTTAGCTTTCTTCAGTGTTCAAGCGACTTGAATTGCAAACATATGGAAATCCTTAAATTTCAAAATTTTAATGCTTGATTTGGTTGGGGTTTGCCAGGTCCAGGCAGTAGTGCAACACCTGGACGACACATGAGAGCCCTGGCAGCAAGCTACCGTGGTGGGCTCTCCCCCATGAAAAATAAATTTAATATCGTTGTGGACACATGGTCCACATATCAGATATTAAACTGATAAGAACAGATACTACACTTGATCTTAGCCAAAAGGCCGAGAAAGGTATGAGTTGGAACATTGAGCTGGGTCTCGTTTTATAGCCATCTTTCCCCAGGGTTTCTCCTCCGTCCGCGATGTGGTACTAAACCTGCTACTGCCCTCTCTTCTATGCTCCGGCAATGCCACCCGCTGCTCGGTTGGGCCCAAACCGAGAGCCCGTAGCAGGCCTTACCGAGTCACGTCATGGGCTTTTCTGTTCCTGTTCCTTTTTCCATTCTCTCTCTTGCAGCTTGCCTCCTCTTCTGCATTTCCCTTTGTGCCTTCCCTTCTTATCCTGGTAGCATATTGAAATGCATGGCTGGAAGATGTGCAATAGCTAGTTAACTTGCCTCCTTAAACAGTAGTACATTTAAGAAAATCCAATGGCTAAAGAAAACACAGTTGTTTTTTAGTTTTTCATGTTTATTTACTATGAGAGCAAGCCTTTATCACCGAGACAATAGTCATGTTGCTTACAGAGTTACAAGCATATGCATAATAAAACTCCATGGATCATCAAGCCACGCCTTGACCCTGTGCTTGTGCTGGTGGTGTGTTGCAGGGCGTTGCTGGGCAGCGTGAGCGACTACCTCGCCCATCACGCCTCCTGCCCCGTTCTCATCGTGAAGCCGCCCAACAAGGCGCACCACAAGTGAAGCTCCAACTCTGCTGCCACTGTCGACTGAATGTCTCGAGTGCCTCGTGCTTCCAATAAAGATGTGATCGAGCTCATGTGCAGTACTCTATGAACATCCTAGAATGTAGGGAATAAACTGTTGTTTGGCCGCAAGCACTTGCTGAAATTTTTAATCTTGGTTAGTGCAGTTGTTCCGATGCATTACATTGCCATGGACGTAGTGTTCTTTCTTCCTTGAAGTACAGAGTGCGGTGATGCTGCTGAAAAACAGGCACATCTCGAAGAGTTCGGTTCGCCAAACACATGACCAGTACAAGACCTATTGATCACAAATACTCCATAATTCGCTCTAAAAAACGTATTCAGAATTCCTATTCATAATGCAGAGCATGAATGACCGTCGAAGCATGTTCTGTTTCTAAGCAAGCATGCTTTTGTTTTAAAATGGAGGCAAAGGTTTTGCCTTGTCTATTTAATGAAGAAGAGGGTAGAGTTCTGTATTACAAGGCCGCGAGGCCCACCCGCAATAAACATGGAATTACTCTCCTGATAGAATGTTTCCCAAAATAACAAAATTGCATCTGCCAAGACCCAAAGCTTGGTCTAGTCTTTGATGGCCTTGAGCAAGATGGTCTTCGGCTTGCTCTATTCTCGAAACACACGGGCATTTCTCTCGTTTCAAATGGTCCAACTAATGAGCATTGTAAGCGACGCCATTGCTTTACAGTTGACCTTGTTGTTGCGGAAAGATTGACCCACCAATCTTTGTTGGGGCTCTTAAGGCGCCAAGAGGAGGTGTCAAAGTTTTCTAAGTGTAGCGTTCGTTAGCCAAGTTCGAAATATAGAGGGTTTCTCGGCACTTGAAGAAGAGGTGTGTCCGGGTTTCTTGATTTCTCTTGCAAACAGGAGAAAGACCGCAATTTGGCTACCCGCTTGGCCAATTAGTTGTCTATCTAATTTTTTTCTTGATGGCCAACAAAGCAAATAATTTGACTTTGGGCGGAGCCCACGCCTTCCCAACCGTGTGATCCATAGGTGAGTACAAGGTTCCCATAAATTACGCAGAGTAAGCGGTGGCCACCGAGTATTCATCGAGATGGAAATCACCGATGCCGATCTGAGGGCCCTAGCCACTTCAACGATGCTCCTCATGACGCGCTCGGTGGAGGAAGAGGTTGTCGTCATCCATGCTCCATCCGTGCTCCCCTCACTTTGCCCCAAAGCAAGGGAAGAAACCCTCCTCTGGGGGTAAAAGAACTACCGACCACGACCGCCATCATCGCAACCGACGAGCTTCCCTCCGCTGATGCCCCCCAAATGATTACCTCCGGAGCAGGAGTCACATCGATTGGTGGGTCAATGGCCGTCGCATGCGGCTCTCTGCAGATGGGGGACGACACCATGATTGCCGACATCAGGTCAATGTTGGACCAGGCGAGGCCGCCTACCCATCGGTCTTGGATGACGTGGTTGTCGGCATGGATGGGGGTTGGGGGATGGCACGACTGTGAATGGGAGTGGGAGGTGACTAGCAATTGGGAAGTTATGAGTCTAGGTCGCAAAAAATAATCGATCCGGCCGTTCCCCTCGGTCAAACTTGAAACTGCTTTAAGTTTTGCGTGGGGCTGAAAAACATATGCAACCCAGCCAAACAAACACCCTATTTTTGCACCGCACCCGTCTGGTTGGGCCGGATGCAACCTATTAAACACGCCACTAGTGATACTTCAGTAGATGACGTTACGGTTTGATTTGGCACTAAGCAAGCGACGACACTGTTGATAAACCTGGGCATTCGTCGGGCCGGGCTTTTCAAAGCACAACCTCAAAATCTAAAGCTCAAGCCCGGACCGGCTTGGCCAAACGCTTTTTTTAATTACAATAATAATATCTAGTAGGATATTTAAAATATATATTACCTATATTTTCTTATAAAATAATGGTTTGTGCCTTGATCAAGCTTATTTTGAGGCCTCTTGATCGGGCTTCAGGCAGAAAAGCTGAGCCTGAGCCCAGCCCGGATGTCGGGCTTCTGGGCCGGGCTGTCCATGCGTGGGTCTGTTGGCATGGCACGCGCAACGGCCGAAAGAAGCCAAGATACACCGCCCGGCCGCCGGACGCAAGCAGGAGCTGACGAACGCACGGCGGGAGCTACGGACCAAAAGCCACCGCGTCCCCCTCGTCTCGATCTATCTATCTCGGGCCGTCCACATCCAAAAGCTAGCGGCGCCGACCGTGCGCGCGCACGCATATATACACACGTGCACGGTAGGTGATGTGGTCGATCGAGGCAGTGATCGCCAGGCACGAGGCCAGTCTCACCGGGAGCGAGCGCGTCGTCATGGAGGAGAGCACCGAGGCCGCGGCGACGGCAAGCGGCGTGGCGCCTGGAGCCGGAGGCGCGGAGGCCGCCAGGGCGCCGGGCTTGATGAAGGTGGACCCGGGGCCCCGGGGCGTCAGGCTGCAAGCGGACGCGGGCCGTCCACGGCGCCCACATAAAAACCCACTTAATTTCTGCTCGTGGACGCCCGCGTAACCTGCGATTTAGAAAGTGGGATAAGTGGGCTGACCCACGTTTTTCACCTATGACCCACTTAATTCCTCGTTTCCCTCTTCGCCATTAGGGTTGGGCACGCCGCCGCCGCCTCCCCCATGGCCAGCTTAGCGCTGCCGTCCACCTTTCCAATGATCGATCTAGCGCCGCCGTCCACCTTCCCAATGGCCGATCTAGCGCCGCCGTCCACTTACCCCATAGAAGCCGCAACACCCACACCCATCATCTCCACGGACGCCGCAACGCCTCCTTCCACCTCCATCGTAGCCGCACCAACGCCGCCGTCCACCTCTCCCACAGCCGCACCAGCGCCACGGTCCACCTCCCCCACGACTGCACCAGCGCCGCCTTCCAATTCCCCCACTGCCGGACCAGATCAACCATTTATCTCCGCCATGTCTGCCCCTGCGGCGCCGCCGTCAACCACCACCATGGCCATCACCAGCGATTCACGCAAGAAGCGACCTCCCTGCAAGAAGAAGAAGAAGAAGAATGATGATGTCCAAGAAGAACCTGCCATGGCTGTAAGTTAATCTGCACATAATCATTGCTTTAAGTTAGTACATGTCCATCATGCTTCTAGTTATCGGTGGAACAGTTCCACTGGAACTGAACATGTTGTTGCTACAATGCTACTGAATAATTTGAATGCAAGTCAGAGTCAGCACATAAGTTAAGAAAAGAGAGCCGGTGCTGGGGTAAATTGACTCTCTGTTCTGGAGTTTTGTTTAAATTTTAATCACCTCTCTTCAAATGACTGCACATGTATTCAACCAAGGAAACCCCATTCCAACTTGTAGCATGTCAAATGATAATCAAGATTTTTAGCTTACCAATACAGTAGTCTCCATCAGTTCTGTTTAGCTATAATTTAGTTCTGCTAGTTCACTTCTGTTAACAGAAAACATCTCCCTTAACTCCAATCAGTTCAGTTTAGCTGTAATTCAATCGATGCAACATGTAGCAGTTTTTATTTTGTGTAATGGCTCTATGTAGTAATGTTTTCTCTGATATAAATATGGTGTTTGTTCTACTTTTATTTGACATATCTAGTCATTTAACCTTCTGTCAGATTGCGCCGCCATCCATCATCTCCGTGGACGCCGCAGCGCCGCCTTCCACCTCCAACGTCGCCGCACCAACGCAGCCGTCCACTTTCCCCCATAGCTGCACCAGCGCCGCTGTCCAACTCCTCCATGGCCAGACTAGCGCAGTTGTCCAAGTCCACCACATCGGGACCGGCGCAGCCCTCCAACTCCCCCACCGGCGAGGCTCGCAAGAAGCGACCTGGGCATGAACTCCCAAGGTCTGGCTCCAAGAAGAAGAAGAAGATAGCTGCTATTCATGAAGCCCCTGCTGAGAATGTTGTTGAAGTCGTCCTTGCTTCTAAATCTGACAAGACCAAGTGCCTCAGTGGCTCTGTCAAGAAAAATCTGATTGAGGATGATGCTAAATTGAAGGCGGAAAATGTTCGCAAGGCATGTTTTACTTTACTTATTTGACATATCCAGTCATTTAACCTGCTGTCAGATTGTGCACTTTAGTACATCTGAATCTTGGCATATACTAGTATCCTCTACAAGTTGGAAATCACCTTCATCTTTCAGACTAGTCTGCAGGTTATCCAACTCTTCTTTCTTCTGCTCAAGTTCTTCCCTAACTTATTATTGTTTACATTGTCTGCTTATATATGATAAAGACTAGTCTGCTTATATGATAATTCTTAACTGAATTCTGACCCATAATTGTTTACATTGTTATAGAGAGCTAGTCCACGAGTTTATTCTCCAAAGATAGTGGCCAGCTCCCCAGGGGTCAATATGTTAGCAAGAACAGCTGCATTGAAGAGGGTGTCCTCGGTGGTGAGGCAAGCTTCCACAAAAAGGGCAAAGTTAGCAGATCAACTAGACTCTAGGTGTCTCTAGTTACTAGAGACACCTGCTTCACAGCGGACGCCACTACAGAACACCCCTTCGCTTCAAAATCTATCTCCTGCAGTGATAAGACCTAGTTCCCATGGTAACATTTGCTTCCGGATATTCCTACGGTCGACTTTGTAGAGTAACACGTGATGCGTCTAAATATTGAACCTCTATGTTTAAGGTGTTCTTTTCCCATGCATGCAGGGTCAAAGCGTAGACGCCGCAAGCTGGTATCTCGCATTTGGGAGGAGGCCGTGCCAATCTATGAGGGTCGAATGCTTGTGGAAGGCCAGTGTAATCATTGCCAACAAATTTTTCCGGCCACACGAGACAGTGGGACCAGCCACTTACGTCGGCACTTGAAGGTATGCCCAATGAAAACTGCAATGAATGAAATGATTGATAAGTTGGGTCCTCCTGAGGTGGTAGATCCTAATTGGAAAATTTGATGCTAAAGTCTCACGGTTTGAATTAGTCAAGATGATTGTTGTGAATGAATTGCCGTTCTCTCTCGTGGAGTACAAACCATTTCGGGACTTTGCT